CGTGTCCTCACACTGGTAAAACTCAATCCAAGAGCCACACAGCCGATGAAATAGAGAAGTATGATTATCATCTCCAGGAGACCACCCACTACCATCCGCCCGAAGTCTCCCATCAGAGGAGAGCGCAAAGTTCCAGTCACCTACCAAGATAGTGAAACATTCAGCGGGGCTGGGAAGTTCACGAAGGATGGATCGTAAAGCGTTAGCATATACACACGTGAGCTCATTAGTGTTCGGCATGTGCGCATTGATGATACATAAATTCCCGAGAGGCCCAGAGAGGTAAGACTTGAGGATACGACCATCGATGAGGCTGGAGTGAGAAATAGTAGAGAAGAGCTTCGCAAACGCAGGCTGGATGCACGTGATCACACCACCAGTAGCAGCAGAGTCAGGGAACAGAGAGTGACCAATCTCAAAGTGCCGAAGTTCTCGCCGAAGCTCGTTTATATCCGCAATCTGTCCGTGGGTTTCCTGGGTACAAAAGACCGAGAGTTGGTTCGCGAGCTTCAGAAACTTCGCAAAGCGCGGGGCAGCCTTCATACTTTTAGTGCGAACAGCGGCGAGGAGGGCAGCAGTATTCCAAGATCCAATCTTCATCTCTGAGGGGGGGAAGAAGGGGCGGGTCCTGACCATAGAGACAGGGATTCCCTGATCTGTTCGGGGAGCGCTGCCAGAGACGCGATGCCCAGAACATTCTAGGGAAACGGACACAGAGGCCTGATCAGCCGAGGCGGCACAGGCAGGGAGGGCACCGACGGGGAGCAGAGGCACACCTTCAGTCCAACAGCCAAAATGACTAGAGGTAATTAAGCGCCTAGAAGGAGCGACGATCAGGCTCGCGGCAGGGGGGCACTCTTCTGGAGGTGTCGCAGGCGCCGCACCCGTAGCCTGGGGCCCGTCACATTCCCCTCTAAAAGGGCTGCGATGCATTCAAATGATCCACCCCCTCCTGCAGACGCTGGAGGTGGGGCTCAATAATAGCATGAAACTCCGCAAACTGATCAGGGAAAAAGTTGATAGCAACATGGGGCGGCTCAGACTCACTGTTCACAAGGTCAATGTGGCAGATCTGAACTGGGTCTTCAGCCGAACGAAGGATATACACATCTCCGCCAAGACCATTGGACCCCATTTCCTTGCCAACCTGACGCATTATGGGAGCGAGCACACCACGAACCTTACCCATGGCAAGGAAGAGAAGCCGCGTGCCTGGGGCCATGTCCCTCTTGGCGCGGAGGGTGATCATCTGCTGGGGGTAGATCGGGTCGGGGAATTGGACTGGCGCACCAGCCTGGAGCATGTTCAGGAAGTCAGTAGCCTTGGTCGAGTCCGTGAAGTCCAAGGTGATCTTCTTGGTCATGTCGTATGTGCGTACCGTCGGGCGTGGGCTGGACAGAGGGACGCCAGCGGCCAGAATCAGATCAGCGGCACGCCTCAGCGAGGCCTGCATCATCTTCCGAGGGAAGCCGACCACTATCACACGGTGGGCACGCTCCATGGCTGCATGCTTACCGTCAGGGCGTGGACCAGCAGCAGCAGCTCGGCGAGCCGTAGGCTCAGACCGTGGCGTAGGCGAACTCTGGAGCTCACACAGAGTTTCGTCGACGCGCTTCAACTTAATGTCCACCGCTGCAGCAACCGCCTCCTGGATGGTGGCCGACGTGGACGCCTCAAGGGTCTGAAGCTTCACATTGAGCGTTTGGACATTCTTATCCGTGTTCGAGATGGAGCTCTGAAGCATCTGCACCTCCTGCGCGAAGTTCTGCTCCATCACCTCGATGCGGTAGTTCGAGGTTTTAATGCCGTCGATCAGCTGCTTCATCCAACTGGGGGCCTTGTCAGGGGCAGTGCCGTCCTCATTATCTGACTCACTGCGGCGGCTCCTGGTACGTGTACGATCCGAGTAGCGCTCGCTGGAGTCCGTGCTTGGGCGACGGCGGCCTGCAGGACTCATTGAGTACCGTTCAGGGGACCGAGAATCATCTTCAGACTTGGGCTCCTTCTTCCTCACTGGCCGCCGAGACTGGGACCTGGCCTCTGACTTGGTGGACTTCCTAACGCCAGCAGGCATCGGAGCAACTGGAGTAATCCGAACCGTTGTGGAGGGAAAAAGGAAACGCGTGCTTTGGCGCACGTCTGTTCAGTGCGAGGTCCTGACCTCGGGAAGCTCGAGCCTCCCCGTCGGCAGCGACCAAGGTTCAAACCCCAGGGAACAGATTTGAGCCTTGAGCCAAAATGGCTTGAGCCAAAATGGCTACGGATTTTTGGCATGTGTTTCTTCTCGGCATTCCGACGCCTCAGACGGCCCAAAAGGCACCCCAAACGGCCCCCAGAGGGCCCAAGAGGCCTCCAAGACGCCCAAGATGGCCTCTCAAAACCCTTGAGATGCTCCAATAAGGCCCCAAGACGACCCAGGCAGGTCCCCAAGACGGCTTCCGACAGCGTCAGACAAGCCAGGAACGCCCTAAGACGGCCAAAGAGGCCCTAAAGAAGCCCCCAAAGGCCCACACAAATCTTCCAAGAGGCCCCCAGGAAGCTCCCAGGAGGCCCCCAGAGTGCCCCAAGAGGCGCCTAAGAGGCCTCCTACTCCTCCTCCTCCTCCTCCTCCTCCGCCTCCTCATCATCATCATCCTCATCCTTTTCCCTCATCCTCCCCCTCCTCTTCTTCTTGCTCCCCCATGCGTTCCTCGAAGTCTTTCCAAACCGACTCGGGGAACAACTGGCCCGATAGCTTGGTCAAGCTCTTGCCCAGCTGTCGGCCACAGAGGCGCTTCCAAAAGTTGGTGGGGGCGGCGGTGATTCGCCGTAGGCGTCTTCGATACACGCTTGCAGGAACCTGTGAACAGTGAACTGGTAGACGGGATGTATTGCAACATCGTTGATGCGTCATGGGTTTGCACTGGTCCTCCTCCCCCTCCTCCTACTGTCAGGGTTCGGGGGGGCTCGCGTTGGCCTGATGGTGCCATCCTGAAAATGTGACGCGTTCCCCTGCTGCAAACATCCCACGAAAACTGGACCGTCAAACTCCAGGAACCGCTCGTCAAAACGCGTCGGCAAACCCGATCTCCAGCGTACTCGAATCTTACGTTTTGCCGATCCTCCTCCTCCCCCATCCGCTTTCCCTCAGAATTTACTGCTTCCTGTCGACCCCAAGGGCGTGTTGGTAGGGCGGGCCGGGCGTTTCGCACGAGACTTCCTTACCATTTGCGATCCTGCCTACGATCCCGAAACTTGGAATCTGCAACCGTTTCAAGGATGGAGGACGGGCGGTATTCAACATGTGGCTCTCGCCTCGGCGCCGCGCAAACTTGCCCAAAAACACTGCAACGGCGTCAAGTATGGAGGGCGGGTGTTTTTCAAAACGTGGCTTTCGCACTAGCACCGCGCACATTCACCTTCAAAGCTTGCAGCAGCTTCACGGATGGAGGGCGGGCAGTTTTCAATACAGTCGGGCCTGGGCCAGAAGAGCATCCCTCAAGAGCACGAGACCGTTCGCCGGCGGAAATGAGCAGAACATCCAAGGGTGCCCTCCCCGGAATGCGCAAGCGCATCGAAAACGACGGAGAACGCTATGGTTAAGTCGGGCGTGCCCCCCTTTTTTACATGGGGATTGTCTAGGGAAAACAAAAGCTACTCAAAAAAAGCTCCGAAATCGTTTTTGTTGGTTACAATAAAAATGATAATACGAATAATAACAGTAATAATACTAATAATAAACAATAAAAAAAACTATAAAACAATGGTCCCCAGACTATTGTTTGACTATGGTTTTATTTCCCCTTTGTAGAGGGACAGGCCCGACTCAACGCCAGGGTGCCCTCCCCGAACCGACCTCGATGTGATGCCTCGGTCCGACCGCGCGTGGCCCTCGCCCGGACGCCGCGCACGCTCTCATCCTGACCGCAGGCAGGCTGCGGGACGCAGGGCGGGCCCCTTTGTCACGCCGAGGCCCTCGCCTGCGGCGCCCTGGCGCCACTCGCCAAGAACAGCCCGCGATGCGTGGGAGGACTCGTGCGGTTCAGGTAGGGAGAGGTAGGGAGGGGACAGGGACACCCAAATCCATAGACACATCTCCGCCCCCCACCCCCCCCCACATACTGTTCCGCATGGTCTGGATGTTCGGCTCCCCCCCCGCGTCCCATCTTTGCCTGTATCTCCCTGGGTGAAAAAAAACGATTGCTTGTGTCTGTGTGCGTGTTTCCCTCCTGGTGAAGTCCCAAGCACGGCTTGGAATTGCCAGGACGCCACAGTCGCGTTGGCTGGCCGCGTTAAGCTCCAAGGAGTGGTGTTGTGGCACGATTTAGGACTCTCACACTGTTGTCTGCCTATGCGTCACTGCTCGCGGTGACAATACATTCCTGTAGGGGCCCATGAAAAAAAAACCTGAACGGAGGGTTGATTGCAACATCGCTGATGCGTTTCAAGTTTACTCTGGTCCTCCTCCTGCTCGTCCTCAGTGGCACGTCCACGGCCTCCACGAGGTGTTTGTTTGCATGTGCATCCTGCGATAAGGGACATGCGGCGGAGCACCCAGTGGCGAAGGCAAAACGGGCGGGTCTCCTCGGAAGGCTCTGAGGGCCTCGGACCTTCAAACAGGTTGCCTGGGCCTTGTCCGAAGCCGCGGAGCGCTTCTCAGAAGTCAAAAGCCAGACGGCCTCCGAGAAGCCACGCCCCCCCCCTCATTTTCCCGCTCGCCACGCCGGTGAGGCATGGTCGATCACCCGACCAGTGTTACAGTCGGGGCGTTGACCTAAGGAACCCTGAATAAGGAACGAGGCCCCTTTTTTCACAAGTTAACCTTCGATTTCCTATCGGAAACATAAGGAAAGCCTGAGGCAAGCTGCGAAACACTTAAGGAACGCGGAGCCCCTCCCCAACGAAAAGGGTTCCTTCTTCAGCGCCCCGCCTGTATGCTGCTGGTGGCGTCGCTGCGACAGAAGATCCCCCTCCACTCGAAACCAGGCGAGCGGATGGGCGCGGGGTCGCGCTGGCCCCTCCTTGGTGCGCTGGTGCTCGAGCTCCGCCTGTGGGGGCGGCTCCCGAGGCGCCCGGGAGCAGGGAGGAGGGCGCGGGCACGGGCCCCGAGCCCGAGGAGGGCCCTGCAGTTTCGGGGGCGGCCAGGGGGGGGGGGGCGTCCAAGGGGGGGGGCTGCAAGTCATGGCCTGCGGCACGTGCGCGGCCCAGCGGGGGTGGGGGTCAAGGACGTAATGAGACAAGAAGAGGCGCCATGAGATCTGGGGAAATATCATGGCCCACGCCATGATAATTATCCACCCCCCCTAGTCATCACCCCCCTCTCTTCCGCCCCCGAAAATAAGAAGAGGCACCATGAACTCCGGGGAGACATCCATCATGGCCCCCGCTATGATATCCCCTCCCCCTAGGCCTCACCCCCCTCTTGGCCGCCCCCGACGGGGGCGGCTCCCGAGACGCCCGGGGGCAGGGAGGAGGGCGCGGGCGGGCACGGGCCCCGAACCCGAGGAGAGGGCCCCGGGAGAGAGCACCCAGGGGAAGCGATCCGGGGCCTCCAGTGGGGACGGGGCCGCACGGAACCCTCGCAAGAGAAGCCCAGCTCCGAAAATCCCTCCAAAGAACTCGCCCAGGGCGCGGGCTTCTTAGCGCAAGGGTTCCATCGGAGAAATTAGAGGTCTCCTGGATGGGGTCCGAATAGATGGGGTCGGAGGATCGCGCCGCATCGGCGATGCATCGGCGATGCACCGACGATGCATCGTCGACGTCGGCGAGGCATCGGCACCGTCGGCGAGAAAATCGGGTTCCGCATCGAGCCGCATCGCCGATGCATCCACGATACCGAACGATCCTACGACCCCATCTGCTCCGACCCCGTCAGGGAGGCCTAGAGAAACCTGGGGCACCCTGGGCGCAGCAGTCTCTTGAAGATCGAGGGAAGTCACCGCGCATCGCTGGAAGCGGAGAAGCCTGGGACACCCTGACGAAAGCACCCGGTTCTTGGCGCGCGTCCCCACTGTATGGATCGGCGCGGCCAGGATCCTGGGTCACCCAGCTTGGCGCTCTCTTCGGCGGTCAATGACGGGCGGCATGCGCGATCGCGACCGCAGACGCCCTCCGCGCAGCCCCGCAGTCGGGGGCCCGGGGGCCCTGCGCGATGCGGCGCGCAGCTGGCCCTGCGAGCTGCGCCACGCGGCCGCCGGCGCAACGCGGGTGTCCCGCGAACGCAGCTTTCCCTGCCCGTGCGGCCCGCAGGCGATCCCACCAACCAGGACAAGCACGGGCCAGCCACGACGAGCGCTGGGTCGGGCATGTCCCCCTGCGGGCGCAATGTGGAGGAGACCACGAGATTGGCCAACAACATGCTCAAGCATATATTCAAGGCAGAACCGAGGCAGAACCGGAGCATCGTCCCCAGACTGTTCTTCGACTATTCTGGCACCTTCCCCCTGCAGGAGGGACGTGCCCGACTTCCGACACGCCCCCGACCGCGCGCCCCGCGCCTCCGCGGTGCGCGGCCGTCCTCGCGCCCCCGCGGCGCCCGCCGGAGAGAAGCAGCCCCCCCACCCAGCCCACACTGCGCGCAGCGCGAGCCGGGAGGGCGCACGGGGCTCCGCGGGGATCGACCGAAGCAGCGTGTTGCCTCCGCGTTTTGTTATCGTTTGCCCTCGGTTTGTCATCAGTCCGCCTCTTGCCGTCGCTCGGACGTCCATTTCCCGTGCATTTGTCGGTTTCGTGCGTGTTTTTTTTTTGCTCGATGGTCCAGGATGGTCTGCTGCAAAGCGACACCGACACGAACCCGGCCGACGAAGTCGCCAAAGCACCGTTCAGGTCGATCCCTGGGGCCCCGGGAGGCAACCTTTCAGGCCCCCGTATGCGGGGGACTTGTGCTGGACCAAGACGATGGCGCGCCCGATGCGAAACTGCAGACGTTGGCCGAGGCATTCTCCATGCCTCGGGAACTTCAGCTGTTCTCTGTCCAACAAACTTCTAGTTTGCAGCGTCCTGGCTTCAGGGGGCCCCAAATTCGCCGTGCTCGAGGGGCGGCGGGTCAACCAGGAGCGACCCTCGGCCGAAACATCAGGGAGGGGCTGGGGGGAGAGCAGCGGGGTCTTTTTTGCTGGCGTGAGCTGAAGCCACACGCGTCAGCAGGATGGGATTGAAACCCAGGATGGGGATCTCGAAAAGAGGCCCGCCCCTCCCACAAAAACGGGTGGGGAACGGACGGGGGGAAGGAGGGAGGGGCAGGTGGCAGTGGTGGAGAAGAGAGGTGACGACGGCGGACCAGAGGGAAGTTTTAGGGAGACGGGACGGGAGTCACATCTGAGATCTAAGGCGAAGCCAGGACGAGGATAGAATCGGGTGGGGGTTCAGCCGAGAATCTCTGATATCTGGCGGCTCTGGAGGATGTATCGGGCGCCGCGGCCATCTCGGAACGTTCTGGAACGCTCTGACAGCGACCCGGAACGCTCTGGAAGGCATTGATCCTCGTCGTGGCCCCGCCCGAAGATCTTACCCCTCGGCGACGACGACGACGATGACGATGACGATGACGATGTCGACGACGTTGCCATCGTCATCGCCATCGCCATCGTCATCGCCATCCATGACAATTTCGCTGAGTCCGGCTCTTGCTGCATCTGCCGAGCCGGGAGTCGAATCGGGCCCCGGTGCCCGAGGGGATGGCGCCTGCGGTGCGTGGCGCGCTGAATAGGCAACGCCGGGTTTTTGCTCCCCGCCGCGTCGGGCCTCGGCCCCGCAGTGGTCCCCCCCGCCCAAATCTCCTGGGAGGCCAGGACAAGCCACACCCCCTCGTGAACCCAACGCGGGCCTGGGTTCCGCGTCCTGACGATGCTCTGCTGCACTCGGCCGCCGCTGGGTGGGGGCAGCGATGCATGAAGGGGGGGGCGGAAAGAGGGTGCACTGCTGGGGCCCTACAAGGGGCCCCTTCTGGGCCCCACGGGGCTCTCTTGGGGGGGACCCAAGGGACCCTTCTCTGCATGACTCGCTGTCCACCCCACTAATCTCGGGGATGGACAGACCCCCCTTTAGCAAAACGTGGTTTAGTGGAAACGACCTGAGGCCCAAACCTGGCGGGCGCCAGCCTGGAAAATAACGGCCACGGCGCCCTCTCGAGAACCGAAAACGGACAATTCACGAATTGACGTGTCACTGTTGGGGGTTCTGTCCACCCCCGATAATCGCCCCGCCAACACACGACCCCCATTGCACGGGGGGGGGGGGCGGGGCCAGAGTCCCGCGGGAAGGTCGGGCGACTTCCGGGCGGAGAGGACACGCGCACGCCCGAGCGGCCTTTGCACGAGGCACGCATCACGGGAGAAAGGAATGGGAACAGAGGAAAAATGCGAAGAGGACGGGAAATCTCTATGGCAGAGGGGGAGACACATACACTGCGAGAACTGGCGCGGAAGAAAAGGAGGACGATTGTCAACATCAGCGTGGTCACGGGCATGACCATGTCGGATGGATTGCCCTGCGTCATACGTTTGGAGGGGCGTGGGCATCAGTGTGCTCATGTGCATAATGACAGCATGCCGATTGCACGCCATCGTGTAGCATGCAGCATATAGGGCCGTTCGTTCGCCCCCCGCGCAGCTCCCATCACATACCTTGTTCCACATAGCTCCCACTCCGCACATGTCGCCACAACGCATGCAAAACGTAGTTTGCGCCACACAGTCTGCACCACATGGGTTCCGCACCGTAGATCCTCCGTACAAGCAATTCATATATTCCACGCCCAACCCGAGCCCACACTTGTGCCGCAGGCCCCACCCACACGCCATGGACACTGCAAATTACACCTGATGCTGACTCGATTTGCATTGTTCATGGGAAATCGCACCGTCCCAGGGCGACCTGTGTTCACCCCCGCCTTCACACCTGACAAATGATGCGATGCGCGCGCACTCGCCCATTTCAAGGAACCACAAAAACATTGTTCCAAAAAACCATGGGCGCATCCGCGTTGACCCAGCACGCGCGCAGCGTTTGTTTTTTCCTTTGTTTTACCAGCAAGAGCGGGCGACCAGCGCAGTTGCAAGCTCCTGGAGGTGGCGCCCGACTCAACCGGGCACCTTGGGGAGCTGCGCTGCACGCCGCGCCGCCGGCGCCGCGAAATCGGACACGCTGCCCCCGGCGCAGCGCACGAGTCCGTAGGTGCCGTCTGGCGGGCGCTCGTGGCCGCCTCGCGGGCGCCCCCTGCGCGGTGGCTGGCAGGGAGCACGCGCGGCACTCTCACGGCGGCGTGCCCGTGGCCGCGGCGCGGCCGCCGCGTGCGGCGCCCGAGGTTTTCCAGGGCCTTTTTCGGGCGGGTGGTTATGGGGGGGGTCCCAAAGGGGGGATGAAGAAAAAGGTTCCGAAGGGCCCCGCAGGGGCCCTGAAGGGCCCCTTCAGGGCCCCTTTCTTCATCCCCCAGGTGGGTCAAACCCCATTACCACCCGCCCGACCTTCGCCCTCGTCGTCCCCCCACGGTGGGCGCCCGTGGCGGCCCCTTTTCAGTTTTTGCCCTTCCGTCTCGCCCTACCCGACATGCGGATTCTGAAAGAAACCTGGGAATAATGAGCAACCATTCAAATCTATCCCAAACTAACACAAAACACGATCGGCCCCAGACGATGCACGACTTAGCCCTACCTCGCGCCGACCTACACTGCTGACAGTTCTCGCTCGCCTCCGTCGGCGTCGTCGTCGCTGTCCTCGGCCGCCCTCCCGCGAGGGGGCAAGAACCGAGACGTCCGACGATGTGTTCTTCTCCAGGGTGCGAGGCCATGGCGGTGCCCCGGGGGGGGGTATGGCTAGGTCGGGCATGTCCTTCTACGGGCGGACTTTGACTGAACATTGTGAATGGGCCAGAAACGCCATAAAACAACATCAATAACGAAACATCGCCCCCAGACTATTCGTTTACCATCTTTGAATATAGGGAACCCACAAAGGACGTACGCGCCCAACTATGTACATGAACACGGCCCCATCGATCCGCGAGACCGGCAGCGTTATACGAACATTTGCGCAATGCGTACTCTCGAAACCAGCGTGGATTCATGTACGTGTACGTCCTACTGTCGCTCCTGAGAACACTACTCCTGTAGAGAAACATGCCTGACTTAAGGAGTAGTGCTTCCTGTCCCGGGTCAGTGCTGGACGGTCCTGGGGCCCGACGCCTGGAACCGGGGGCCGAGATCGAGGGGGAGCTGACCAACAAGAACTGCATACTCCAGATTTCGTAATAAAAGGGAGGGGGTCTCATTTCGGGGGGGGTCTCTTCCAGGCTATCTTGGAGGGCCTGGGGGGGTCTGGGGACGATGTTTTGGAGGGTTCTCCCACGAGGGGGGGTCTGAAATGGCTTGTCTCGGAGGGTCCATTGCGATTTATTTCCATTGAATTCATTCCATGCATAGCATGCTCTCCCCTAATGGACCGTGAGCGGGACCCAATCCCCTGCCGGTCGTCTAGTGCCGCCATCATAGGCAACCAGAGGGGTCATCATAGGCACCTCGCACCCAATTCGGGGCCATCAGCAAGGCTCGTTTTGGGAAGAAGGACCATCATAGGCCTTCGCGCTCAATCTGTTCATTGAACTCAACTGTCTCGTCATCGTCCTCCTCTTCCTCCCTGTCCTCCTCCTCCTGGTCCGCCCTTCCCCCCCCCCCTCCCCCCCCCTGGTGAGGACCATCATAGGCCTTACCAGTGAGGACCACCATGAGGCCTCACACCCCTTGCAGTTTCCATCACCGGAACTGCGGGGGTCGAACCAAATCCCCACAAACCTGGCGCCGTACGTGCAGTGCCAGGGGCGGCGGCCCGTCTTCCCATCTTACCATCATAGGAGGATGCGAAGTCCCTGAAGACGGGACGGGGTGGGCACGAGCGGGCATCATAGCCGGCTCACAATCAAAAGAGACATCATAGCCTCATCAGTCTAGATTGATCCACTCACGGATCCACTGCGATTTATTTCCATCGAATTCATTCCATGCGTAGCATGCTCACCCCTAATGGACCGTGAACGGGACCCAATCCCCTGCCGGTCGTCTAGTGCCGCCATCATAGGCAACCAGAGGGGCCATCATACGCACCTCGCACCCAATTCGGGGCCATCAGCAAGGCTCGTTTTGGGAAGAAGGACCATCATAGGCCTTCGCGCTCAATCTGTTCATTGAACTCAACTGTCTCGTCATCGTCCTCCTCCTCCTCCCTGTCCCCCTCCTCCTGGTCCGCCCTTGCCCTCCCCCCCCCCTGGTGAGGACCATCATAGGCCTTGCCAGTGAGGACCACCATGAGGCCTCACACCCCTTGCAGTTTCCATCACCGGAACTGCGGGGGTCGAACCAAATCCCCACAAACCTGGCGCCGTACGTGCAGTGCCAGGGGCGGCGGCCCGTCTTCCCATCTTACCATCATGGGAGGATGCGAAGTCCCTAAGACGGGACGGTGTGGGCACGAGCGGGCATCATAGCCGGCTCAAAATCAAAAGAGGCATCATAGCCTCATCAGTCTAGATTGATCCACTTACGGATCCACTGCGATTTATTTCCATTGAATTCATTCCATGCGTAGCATGCTCACCCCTAATGGACCACGAACGGGACCCAGTCCCCTGCCTGTCGTCTAGTGCCGCCATCATAGGCAACCAGAGGGGCCATCATAGGCACCTCGCACCCAATTCGGGGCCATCAGCAAGGCTCGTTTTGGGAAGAAGGACCATCATAGGCCTTCGCACTCAATCTGTTCATTGAACTCAACTGTCTCGTCATCGTCCTCCTCTTCCTCCCTGTCCTCCTCCTCCTGGTCCGCCCTTGCCCTCCCCCCCCCCTGGTGAGGACCATCATAGGCCTTACCAGTGAGGACCACCATGAGGCCTCACACCCCTTGCAGTTTCCATCACCGGAACTGCGGGGGTCGAACCAAATCCCCACAAACCTGGCGCAGTACGTGCAGTGCCAGGGGCGGCGGCCCGTCTTCCCATCTTACCATCATGGGAGGATGCGAAGTCCCTGAAAACGGGACGGGGTGGGCACGAGCGGGCATCATAGCCGGCTCAAAATCAAAAGAGGCATCATAACCTCATCAGTCTAGACGGATCCACTCACGGATCCACTGCGATTTATTTCCATTGAATTCATTCCATGCGTAGCATGCTCACCCCTAATGGACCGCGAACGGGACCCAATCCCCTGCCGGTCGTCTAGTGCCGCCATCATAGGCAACCAGAGGGGCCATCATAGGCACCTCGCACCCAATTCGGGGCCATCAGCAAGGCTCGTTTTGGGAAGAAGGACCATCATAGGCCTTCGCGCTCAATCTGTTCATTGAACTCAACTGTCTCGTCATCGTCCTCCTCTTCCTCCCTGTCCTCCTCCTCCTGGTCCGCCTTTGCCCTCCCCCCCCCTGGCGAGGACCATCATAGGCCTTACCAGTGAGGACCACCATGAGGCCTCACACCCCCTTGCAGTTTCCATCACCGGAACTGCGGGGGTCGAGCCAAATCCCCACAAACCTGGCGCCGTACGTGCAGTGCCAGGGGCGGCGGCCCGTCTTCCCATCTTACCATCATGGGAGGATGCGAAGTCCCTGAAGACGGGACGGGGTGGGCACGAGCGGGCATCATAGCCGGCTCACAATCAAAAGAGGCATCATAGCCTCATCAGTCTAGATTGATCCACTCACGGATCCACTGCGATTTATTTCCATTGAATCCATTCCATGCGTAGCATGCTCACCCCTAATGGACCGTGAACGGGACCCAATCCCCTGCCGGTCGTCTAGTGCCGCCATCATAGGCAACCAGAGGGGCCATCATAGGCACCTCGCACCCAATTCGGGGCCATCAGCAAGGCTCGTTTTGGGAAGAAGGACCATCATAGGCCTTCGCGCTCAATCTGTTCATTGAACTCAACTGTCTCGTCATCGTCCTCCTCTTCCTCCCTGTCCTCCTCCTCCTGGTCCGCCCTTGCCCTCCCCCCCCTGGTGAGGACCATCATAGGCCTTACCAGTGAGGACCACCATGAGGCCTCACACCCCTTGCAGTTTCCATCACCGGAACTGCGGGGGTCGAACCAAATCCCCACAAACCTGGCGCCGTACGTGCAGTGCCAGGGGCGGCGGCCCGTCTTCCCATCTTATCATCATGGGAGGGTGCGAAGTCCCTGAAGACGGGACGGGGTGGGCACGAGCGGGCATCATAGCCGGCTCAAAATCAAAAGAGGCATCATAGCCTCATCAGTCTAGATTGATCCACTCACGGATCCACTGCGATTTATTTCCATTGAATTCATTCCATGTGTAGCATGCTCACCCCTCCCTTTTATTACGACATCTGGAGTAACAATCACCTCACCTTTGGACAAGCGCGCTCCACTACTCGCAAAGCAGCTGCTCGCAAATGGCCTGGATCCACCGCGGGGGATTCACGAGTGCATAAAGGAGCGCAATTGTTTCTCACGTTCGCGAGTACGCGCTTTGCGAGCAGTGGCGCGCGCCCGGTGAACCTTCGGAGGTTCGCGCAGAGATCCTGCATTTGCGTGGGACCCCCTTTCCCTGGCGCGCTGAGCGCGCCAAGGGGGGCGACGCGAGGGTCGGGGATCTTCTGACCCGGGTCAGTCCAGACCCGGGTCAGCAGGAAACCAAAAACTGCAATGCAAAAAAAAACTGCAACGCAGGTCTTCGCAAACCCGGGTCAGCCAATATGCGCGGCCGCCCCGCGGCCACGAGCGGCTCGCTAACCCGGGTCAGCCAGAGGGTGTCTTCGCAGGATCCTGCAGGATCTGGTGCCCTGGCTGACCCCCGTTGGCATGACCCCCATCTCAAGGCTCCCGAGCAATAGGGCTTCTGAGGAGCCCGGCTGCCCTCCGAGATGGCCCGCCCCGCTCACTTTCCCCCCGGGCGCGCCGCCGAGTTGTTCGACCACGGGCCCCTTCTCAGTTCAGCTCGACGAGGCAACTGCACAAGCCGTGGCTGAACCCCGGTGGCATTGACCCCCGTCTCAAGGCACCCGAGAGGGGCGCCGCCGGGGGAGCCCGGCGCCGATCCGAGAGAGCCGCGCGAGCCTCCGGGCGTGTGTGCCCCCGCCGCATCTCGGAGAGACGGCAGGCTTTTGAGCAGACGGATCGTCGGAGGTCTCGAGAGCGCTGGGCCGCTGCCATAGGTATGAGAGGGAGGAGGAGGAGGAGGAGGAGGAGGAGGAGGAGGAGGAGGAGGAGGAGGACAAACGCCACAGCTTCACGCTCAGGTTGGTCTAACGTAGAAAAGGAGGAGGAGGAGGAGGAGGAGGAGGAGGAGGAGGAGGAGGACCTCCCCATCCTCCCCTCCCCCCCGTCCTACCGATGGCAGTGGTGGTGGATCGTTGGCCTAGCAGAGAGCGCGAGGGAGAGAGCGCGAACGAGAGGAGCGAGAGAGGCCGGGCGGTCGGCGCCGCGGTCGCGTTGTCGCCGCGCGCGTGGTGCCCCGCCTCGTGGCGCCTGCCCGCCCCCCCCCCCCCCGCGGTGCCCGCCCACGGGGCGCGGGCGGGGCGTGGGCGGGGGCCTCGGCGGCGGCACGCGCAGCGCGGCGTGCCCAGGCCCCCTTCGCGCCCTATCGGGAAAACTGCGGGGGAGCCGATGCCGCGACCGCCGAGCTTTCGGGGCGAGGCCGGACTGTATAAGACGAGGCAGCATGAGGCTCTTTGAGGGGCCTCAGGTTGAGAAGCAAGAGATAAACAGACACCACCACCGCCAGCGGGGGGGCTGCGAGGGGAACTCCTATCTCCGCTCTGAGAAACATTGGGGACCTCCTCGCTAGAGGTGGTAACCCTTGTGGTGGTGTCGTGTTTCTGTCCTCCGAAGGTTCTCCGATGCGGAGCCCCTCCGAAACATTTCCCCCTCGGTTGTGCAGCACCTTCTTCCCGCTCCTCCTCCCGGTCCCCCTCCTCTCCTCCCCCCGCCCCCCCGTCCCCCTCTGTAACAGGCCTGAACTGGCACCAGTGGACAGCACCGATTCCGACCACACTTCTCGCCCGAGGTCGCCGCGCCAGCGTGCGGCGATGTCACGGTCGAAGGATCTCCCTCCAACCTCTTGTCACTTCTCCCCTGTTCGCCTCTCTCCTGGGTGGCTTTCCCGATTCCATACTTAGGGAGCCAGATGCGAACCCCACCCTCCCCCTCAAAAATCGTGGGGGGGTAGGGGTAGGGTTCGCATGTGCCCCCCTAATACTTTGCATATTCTGGGGACCTGGTCTGTCCCATCGCGCCGCGATTTGCGTCGCATCCGCGCGTCGACTCCACGCAGATTCCGCGTTGAACACTGCGTCGAACATCTCGGATCTGCGTCGAATGCACGTCGACCTAGCGGCAGATACAAGCAAGGACAGACCGCTATCATTGAACTGACAAGTCCCCCGAACAAAACACTACGACCTCCCCGCACCCCACCAACACGGGGGCTACCTCCACAGGGGAAGATGCTCCTAGATTTCGAAGTTGGTGGTAATATTTTGGCCACCTTGGAAGCCCGAATATTACAACCATCATCGAGATCGAGACTTTCTTCCCTCGATGGAGGCACACCGCCGAAATTGGTGTCGGTGTCAACCTCTGGGCCTGCGACAGCCGCCTGTCCTCGGAGAAGGCTCAGAGAGCCTCTCGGAGGGCAATTCGGGGATCTTCTGACCGACCCGGGTCAGCAGGAAACGCAAAAACTGCAATGCAAGAAATAAAAACTGCAACGCAGGGCCTCGCAAGCCCGGGTCAGCCAATATGCGCGGCCGCCTCGCGGCCACGAGCGGCTCGCTAACCCGGGTCAGCCAGAGGGTGTCTTCGCAGGATCCTGCAGGATCTGGTGCCCTGGCTGACCCCCGTTGGCATTGACCCCCATCTCAAGGCTCCCGAGCAATAGGGCTTCTGAGGAGCCCGGCTGCCCTCCGAGATGGCCCGCCCCGCTCACTTTCTCCCCGGGCGCGCCGCCGAGTTGTTCGACCACGGGCCCCTTCTCAGTTCAGCTCGACGAGGCAACTGCACAAGCAGGTCCTTGTCAGAGGTCCGCACGGATCTCTCGGGGCGGGGCAGATCCGAGAACACTCTGATCGCCAGGCCTGGTGAATGACCAGAACAATCGGCGGTGGACAAACCTCCCCTTAGTAGACCTCCCCTTAAGGAAAACGGCCTGGGACCGAAACCGACGGACCTGGACCCGCAAAAATGACGGCCGCGACGCCCTCTCGCGAACCGAATACGGCCAATTCCTTAATCAACGTGTCAGCGTAGGAGGTCTGTCCACCCCCGAAAAAAGGACCCCTAGCCCTTTGGGAGGGGACCTGAGTTACGAGGGCCAGATGTATCGAACCAGACCGCCCAGACGTACGACTCCGAATGCGAAGACGCGAACCTCAACGAGGCCACGTCGTCACTGTGTAATTCAGCTCGGGGCTCCTTTTCTCCTCGAGGATCTGGGACCCGCTTCCCTCAGGACGACTTCCCTGCGTGGCGCCGCCCTGCCCCCGCGGAGTCGCCCAGGGTAGTCTGCTCGGAGCGCCTCCGCGGAGGTCCCCGAGGAGTCTCCGGAAGCCGCGGAAGGCAGCCCTGAAGCCCGCGCGCCACGGTGCCCGCGAAGCCGAAGGTCCAACAAATGCGGGCATGCGCTAATGTGGACTGCAGGCCCGTGGATCTGGCACGTGGGCGCTCGTGGGGGGAGGGTATCCCTCAAGACAACGAGCGCAACGACGCACGATCTGGCGACGATGCGAACCGACTTTGGACCCCAAACGGGACCCTTCGCTGATCCACGCGCCTTAATCCATGATCCCGCTTCCCCGCACGAAGGGCAAAACACCTTGAATCAATTTACCACCCTCGACCTCAGTACACGGGGGGCCTGCAGCCAAGTGATACTCCTGCAAGCCGTGGCGGGACAGGGGAAGCAACTGCCAGAGCCGACGTCCGACTCGATGTCGAGGGCAAAGCTCCTGGCAGTGGGAAGCAACATGGGGGATCCAGCGCCAATCCACAAACTCCACGAGAACCCTTGAAAATGAACGCTTCGCCGACGTTTGTATTAGGCAAACGCTCCAGTGCAACCGCAACGAAACTGACTCGAACTCCGTTCCGTTCGCCCTCCTGGCATATATACTTATCCGAAAGAACTCCTTTCGCCCTCCTGGCAGAATGTCTCCGTCTCCGTTTGTGGTTTCAGCTGCGGGCTGCAATCGTACCAGCCCGCCCATCCAATCATCACTCTTCCGAAGCCCTTGCACCATAAGGGTCCTCTTTCATACAGTAATCCCCGAATGTTTGCAAGATGGAAGTTGCTGGAGATCACAATTTGCCCCCCTCCACCGACAAGCCCCTTGCCATAGACGATCTCATCTCAGAGATCGGCCACTTTCAAATAAGAAGGTGAAAATGGGGTGGGGTCGGGCGCAGCGTCTCGGCAATGCTGTCTCCACGATACTTTTGTTGAAACTACATTAATAATTCGCTGAGCAATTCATGGTGATCTGTACTGTAGGGTGCTACGGTAAATCTAATTACTAGCGGCGGGCATGCTGTAGCTGCGACGAAGCTAGCGTGCGGCGGCCTGGGAGGCTTATGAATCCGAAGGGGGAGCCCGAAAAGGGCAAGACCGATCAAAAAAGTTAGGAAGGAATTTGAAAAGGCATCTCCAGAGCTAGAAAGAAATTTCGAATACCAGGGGTAATTCTGCATCTAATCGAATCAGAATTGCCCGAGATGCGCCAGTGCCAGGAAGGTAAAAGGAGTTAGAAAGGAAGGTGACAAGGAATCTCCAGAGTTAGAGAGGACTTTCGAATACCAGGGGTAATCCTGCATCTCAAGGACAATCGAATCAGAATTGCCCGAGAAACGCCAAAGCCAAACAGGAAACAAGTCAGAAACGGAATTCGACAAGGAATTTCCAGAGCTAGGACTTTCGAATACCAAAGGCCATTCTGCATCTCAGAGACCATCGAATCAGAATTGCCCGAGACGCGCCAAGGCCAAGAAGAAAAAAGGAGTTATAAACGGAATTTGACAAGGAATTCCCAGAGTTACAAAGGATTTTCAAATAACCGGGGTAATCCTGCATCTCAAAGACAATCGAATCAGAATTGCCCGAGAAACGCCAAAGCCAAAAAGGAAACAAGTCAGAAACGGAATTCGACAAGAAATTTCCAGAGCTAGGACTTTCGAATACCAAAGGCCATTCTGCATCTCAGAGACCATCGAATCAGAATTGCCCGAGACGCGCCAGGGCCAAGAAGAAAAAAGGAGTTATAAACGGAATTTGACAAGGAATTCCCAGAGTTACAAAGGATTTTCGAATAACAGGGGTAATTCTGCATCTCCGAGACGATCGAATCAGAATTGCCCGAGAAGCGCCAGGGCCAGGAAGGAAAACGGAGTTAGAAAAGAATGTGGCCAGGAATGTCCAGAACTAGAAAGGAATTTCGAATGCCAGGGGTAAATCTGAATCGCAGAGACAATCGAACCAGAATTGCCCGAGAAGCGCCAGGGCCAGGAAGGAAAAAAAAGTTAGAAAATAATGTGGGGACTTCCCGGAGTTAGAAAGGAATTTCGAATGCAACGGGCAATTCAGCATCTCAGAGACAATCGAATCAGAATTGCCCGAGAAGCGCCAGGGCCAGGAAAACAAGAGCTATACAGGAACGTGATAAGGAATTTCCAGGGCCAGAACGGATTTTTGAATATTAGGGGTCATTCTGCATCTTAGAGACCATCGAATCAGACTTGCCCGAGAAGCGCCAGGGTCACGAAGGAAGAAAACACTTAGAAAGGAATGTGGTCAGGAATTTCCAAACCTAGAAAAGAATGTCGAATACCAGGGGCAATTCTGCATCTCAGAGACAGTCGAATCAGAATTGCCCTGGAAGCGCCAGGGACAGGAAGGAAAAAGGAGTTAGACAAGAATTTGGTAAGGAATTTCCAGAATCAGGAAGGAATTTCGAATACCAGTGGTAATTCTGCATCTCAGGGACAATCGAATCAGAACTGCCCGAGAAACGCCAGGGCAAAGAAGAGAAACAAAAAAAAGGAATGTGATACGGAATTGCCAGAGTTAGAAAGAATTTCGAATGCCAAAGGAAATTCTGCATCGCAGAGACAATCGAATGAGAATTGCCCGAGAAGCGCCAGGGTCGAGAAGGATCAAAAGAGCTATACAGGAATGGGATCTGGAATCTCCAGAGTTAGAAAGGAATTTCGAATGCCACGGATAATTCTGCATCTCAAAGGCAATCGAACCAGAATTGCCCGAGAAGGGCCAGTGCCAGACAGGAAAAAGGAGTTAGAAAGGAATGTGGCCAGGAATGTCAAGAACTAGAAAGGACTTTCGGATACCAGGGGTAATTCTGCATCTCAGAGACAACCGAATCATAATTGCCCGAGAAGAGCCAGGGCCAGGAAATAAAAAGGAGTTAGAAAGGAAGGTGAAAAAGAAATTTCCGGAGTTAGAAAGGCATAGCGAATACAAA